AATACAGACTTGAGTCTAATGCTTTTTGTGTGCAATGTTGTCTCTCTCTTTGTCAGATTACTCCCTGAACAGTGCAGAGCTGTCAGGTTTCAGCTCCCCTGCAGGCCCCTCTTTGGGCTCCATGGCGGCATGGCAGCAACACCAGCTGGGCTCACTGGGGTAAGTACCTGACAGTTAACCTTTCTCTCTTCATGACTGATAGCAGGATTTACTGTTTCACAGTTTGTTAACAAAGTTTTGCGGCCACTGTGTTTTTGATTACATGCTTGGAACGGGAGGGTGAGGCGAGTTGGTTGCAATCTGCAAGTTCATTGCTAGATAACACTAAATCCTACACATTGGTCATTTAAGAGTATACTTTTTGATGTGAATTGGTATTGAAGCACGAGGCTTATGTCTTAAGACTTAAGCCTGACATAGGACAGGGTGTGGTGGACTACTATTGTATTGAGCAAGGGTGCATTTTAATTATGAGCTCACCTTTTCATTGGTAAGAAGAAGCATTATCTCTCCTTCCAAAAGGTACATAGCGCCACTTTCAAGTCCTGAATTCTGAATGTTTAAAGTAAAAGTATGTATTACTGGAAAAATATACTATCTAAAGTAAATGCACTAAATGCAAAACAGTGCTTCCTTTGAGTGTTTTAATATTACAAATTATATTATTAGATGATATTTGGTAATGCATTCATGTGTAAGTAACAATGTATTGTCAAGTGGAGCTAATTTTAACTCATTTTTGCACTCGTGGGTTGTTAAATCTATTCAAATACATCATATATTGTTTTTTGGCCATCTTATGTTTTATATGTAAAATCTTAATTTTACTCATAACTCCTGTTGTCAAATAAACGATGTGGGAAAAAAGTTCTACTAGTAGTATATTTGATTCTTAATTATAGTGTAAGCATAAAGTTAAGTATCTCAAATTAGTACTTACGTACAGTACTACATAGATCTTTTTTGTCATTGTACTCAGAACAATGAAAACAGTTTAGCAGCTCTTCAGCAGTTGTCCTTTCTGTCTACAGACTTGTTAGTTTCACCACTAGGTGGCACCTTCACTCCACAGTCTCGGCCTCAAAACCTCCTCCTCCTCTGTCCCTCTGTCTGTAGGTCGGGGACCTCGAGTCTCTCCATCAGCACCAATCACAATATCAACATCAAAGCCGAGCCGATCTCCCCGCCCCGCGACCACCTCAGCCAATCAGGGTACATGACCCAGGGTCATCCCCCTCCTCATCATCACTCCTCCACCTCTTCATCCAACAGAGCAGAGATGGGGAGGTCTCCTGCAGACAGCATCAGCTCCTCCTGCAGCTCCCACGAGGGTGGCAGTGACCGGGAGGAGCAGCAGCGCCAGGACTTCCACTCACTCCCCGTGAGTCGGACAGAGAGTCCGTCGGTCAAGCGAATGCGAATGGACAGCTGGGTGACATAAACCCTTCAGTCACGTGACGACACGACACCAGGGCAAACACAGGAAGGACACTGTTATGAAAATGAAATGTGGATTTTATTGATGTGTTATTTTTTATTAAGCTATCTCTGTTTGTTTGTTTGTTGTTTTCTCAGATTTTAAGAAGGATTTAGCTAAATTAGTCTGAAGAAAATCCAGATCTGTCAGAATCATTTCATTAACTTTCAGAAAATCTTCAGTGGCAAAACACAACAGGCCGTCCTTTTTAAAATATAAATCTTTTAAGCATCACAGACTGATAATGTGGGTCCAATTGCAGTACAATCTATCCCTCTCTTATTCAGTGGGATGCAGTACAGTTCACAGGAGAAGAGAAAATGTCTCCCACTGGGTGTCACCCAATTCATTTCCGATATTCTCAGGGTTCGAAACATTGAATGAATCAAACATGAAAGCAATACTCCCTCCGCATCACCCCTGTTACTGCTCTTTAAAAAGACACTTATTTATATCAGCCAAAGCAGTATGCTGTTTTTATGTTGTTTGTGTGTGTTTTTATATTTTGCACAGAATAAGACAATATTTCATTCAGATTTGAAACTGAAAGCCATGGACACTTGTTCTGTATGTACTACCGAAATGTGTCGTTTTGTTTTGTATATACCATCTTTAATATATCACTTTTTGGTGTAACTATATATTAATCTGTCTGTTGTATCCGCCTGGGTGAAATAAGACACCTCCACCAGACTTTACAAAAGTAGTACAAATAGTTTTGTGGATGATCGCCACAGTTGCCAGGCTTTCTCCTTCCATTTCTAATCAAGCGTCTGTTAGATTAATCCTGAAACCAGGTCTCCAAGAATATACTGAAAGGTAGGGATGTAAGATACACTTAACTCCCAATCCACACGGTTCACAATACTGGGTTCACAATATGATTTTCTAGTGATTTTTTTTTAACTAGATGAGATTGAAGAGAAATTGTGACCAAAAAGGATTTCTTTATTTCTACAAGGATAATTTTCTGTTTCTGAGGTAGGGTATAAACTGTGCAAACAATGCATTCTTTTTTTCTTTGTTAACTTGAAGTGATGTCTTTGCACCTTGATGCAGCTACTGGCACAAGTTAAGTAGGACAAAGAACAAAAGTCATAAGTAGATAGCGCCCTCTGCTGTTTCAAAAGAGTATCAAAATTCATTTTTCATCTCACCAGTTTGCATCTTCACATATTTGTATCTGGATTTAACTGCATCCCGGAATATATTGTTACATTATTACGGAAAGGTACAAGCACTCTGGAAAATGTATTTTAGTAAACAAAACAAATTTAGCTCTTCAGAAGACAAACATGCTGATGGAAAATATAAAACTGTCTGATTCTGCCTGATAGCCAGCAGGGCTAAATCTAGCCATCTAGCCATGATAAGGTGAGATAAGATTAAATCTGCTTTATTAATTGCAGAGGGAAACTCGTGTCACATTTACCACAGAGAATCACTCACCTAACACCTAACAAAAGTACCTCTGTCGTGTCTGTGGTTGTGCATTTGCGCATGAGGTAACTTCCTCAAGCGTGTGTTTAAGGCACAATGGGGGAAATCAACTTAGGGTGATAAATTTCAACAGAAATCCATACTCTGATGAATATTTTCTGGAATTATAATGTATTTCTTCTTTAGTGAGTTCAATGCATTGTTTTAAGTAAGTCTTAAGCAACCACAGATAAAGGTAGTTAACTGAAATATATAAATGCACACAACAGTGTTTTTGTCATACAGTAGCACAGTGCGACAGGTTAAATTTTCAGGAGTGCGGAGGGATAGGTTGGAGATGTGAATGGGAATTTACTGAACAAGTGTGTGATGGAACAATAAAATGATCAATGCTGAGAAGAGTGAACATGTGGGTAAGTACAACGTGTGGTGAGGGGTGCAAAAGCTGCAAGACTAACCACAGTGGCTCCGCTGAATGATAATGTGGCTGGGGTGCATATCAGTCAAAGAGCTGAGAGAAAGTTTTGCAACATTTTTACTGAAGAAAGAAAACATGTTGATTGTGTTCATAAACAATTACAGTACAGTGTGTGCCAGATGCAGAGGTAACCATAAAAAAAGTGCGGTGACTGTGGTGGAAGTCATGGTGCTTGGTTGATGGGAAAATAGAAAACGAAATCTCTGTTGACTGACTATTCAAACACAGTGAAAGCTTGATAACATCAGTATATTCACTAACTTGGATCTTTATGATCATTAGACTACAATAGCCTGCTGGAAACAGACAGGAACTATGTAGTTCACAGATGAACAGTCATAAAGCAGACCTGGCAAAAACCATGTGCATTATGTGGTAGAGAACTGGAACAGTAAATGACTACAACCCGTCAGGAGGTAAGATATGAATGAAAAGGAGAAAGGCGAGGATTCAGAACGGCTGTTTGGTGTGTGAGGTGTAATGTGTAACAGCTCTGGTTGGTGGCATAAGTGCTGACGTTAACTGCCATGTAACTTGTGATCTACTGTGTGGGAAGATAGTAGAGGTTAATGTGAGCCATGGAGAAAAAGAAAGAAGCACCAGTGATAAAAAGTCCTTTATTATTTTACACCACCTTGTGTCAGTTATAGACTTTTAGTTTTGGTCACTGATTAAAACATAAACTTGAATGGTAAAATATTTAATGTCAGGGTTATTTTGTTGTTTAACCACATTAGTCCTATTGAGTCAAATAAACAGCTCTTGAATGGTAGACGGCTGTTACTGGTTACAGTAATCGTATGACAAGTGTGCACGCTTGTAGAAGGGAGAGGAGTGACGGGATCATATTGGTTCAGATGAAGAGAAAAGTACAGAGGCCGAGGCCTCACTAACCCAAGGTTAAGGATGAGAGCAGACAGCTGTTTGAGAAAGGGATTAGGTTTATGTAAGACACAAATGACTGCTGTTGACAAGTATAGTAGAGCATTTCTTTAATTTCTGGTGGACATTGATAGCACTAATTGACTTCAGCTTGATTCATCTGAAATAACTGATTCAGTAAGCTATTCTGTGGAACAGTCTAGTTATTCCACTTAATTTAAAGTTAGGTCAGGTATTTATCTTTTAGTTGCTAGAAGTGATTAAAATGTCTCAAAACATAGCTTGCACAGATGGGTGACAACTTAAAGGAGAACCCTGAATGAATGAGTGCAGAAACATGACAGGGCATGCGTTGATGAACAGCTATGGGACAATGGAGAGTTTCAGAGACATACCACCGATGTAACTCACCCCAGTCAAGTTAGAGCAGCCTACCGGAAAATATAAATAAAATAAATTAATAAAACTTATTGTCAACTAGACATAAAAAAAGCATATTTAATTTAGCCTACACATTATACTCATAGATATCTAGATGCATTTTGAAGCTGTACTGCTTTCAATTTGCCTATTTATTATCTCTGTATATATATATTTTTAGACTCTTCGTGGTCTTTTGGTGCGTGCGATCACCGGCAGTGGTTTTATTTTGAAAGTCCTGCTCTGAGAGCGGCTTTGTGGTGTCTGCCTTGATGCCTGATGCTCAAACAGAGAGGAGGAGGAAGTCTCTCCGCACCGCACCGCACCGTACGGTCGATGTTCCGGGCCGTCGCTGTCGGTTTATCTCCCCGCTATGTTCAGCAGCCATGAGGTGAATGAGAAACAGTCGTCGGAGGTTCTTAGCAGCGGGAAAAGGTAAAAGTTCACTCTTTCTTTCCTTCTCCAGGGGAGAAACAGAACGTTAGGCAGTGTAGTTACCTGTGGGGTCATTGAGGAGGGGCTGCTCAGGTGAGCCCCCTTCTGTCCGGAAACGTCCTCGCGGACAGATGGACTCTTTAATGTGTAACTTCGTGGGAGACTTTCTTTTTCTGCTGCCTACATCTGGATGGAAGAAGGCTGCACGGCGAACTCCGGCCAAACACCTGGCACCACTTTTCTTAGTTATCCACATATTTACATGTTTAAGGGAAGCGCGGTTTAAAAAAGTTTCCTGGACAACGAGAGTCGGTGGTCAGTGCGGCGTGGGTGTCGAACACACAGCACTTGTTTTAAGTCTTAAATCCCCCACCAGTCCTCCAGCGACACACAGCTGCACACAGCGACAAGTTATCACTGTGAAGCGTGGTGTCACTTTCCAATGGTTGGTGCTTGCCTGGTGGCCATGCCGAATAAAAGAGCATAATAGTATAATTATTTCTCTCTTTCTTTAGGCAGGATCATATTATTCGCATGACTTTTAAAAGGAGATTGGTTTAAGAGCAGCGGGTCACTGTTTTGAGTCCAGATACTGTCTACTGGACTCCTTTTTGGAGAGGTAGGGTACTGTCACTGATAGATTATTGATTGATTGGTTGATTTACCCAAAGAACTTCCAGCATGCTATAGACCCAGAGGCTTGGCACATTGTTTATGTTGTCACAGCATGCTAAAGCCTGTAACCACTAAACTGTCAACAGCAAAGTTTGTAAATCCGTTGGAACTGCAGATTAATTTATGCCAGAGATATTACATTTTTTCTTGTGTTTCCCTGCAAGAGGCTTTAGTCTTGCCCCACATTAAGCTGTGCAACAGTTTCAGGAAATAGCTTCTTGTCTTGTTCAGACAGGGCTGTGCAGTTGCACAACTCCACCAGCTGAGAAAAAAAAACTATAACAGCCATCTGAAGTCCTTTTATAAGTGATGTCATATCATCTTTAAGTGTCCGGTACAATGTGGTCATCGTTTGAAAATTGGACAGGTGCTTTTATTATGATTCTGTCTGCTTCGGTTGGATAAAACCATTGTTTGTTCATCACTCAGATCTGTAAAATGTAGAGGATCCGCTCTGCAAAAGTGCTTTCATGTTTAACAACGGATTAACCCAGTATCATATTAAAACGCTATCATCCCTTATTTGAATTCTAGCAGGCATTTTGTAAAATCAGTCTGCCTGTTTTTTTCAAACGGTGGTGACCTCATTTAGGGCTTAAAGAAGAAATGTGTTTTCATACAGTCATCGGAACATGTGTCAGCCTGCTCCAGCACCCTTAATAACAGCGACTGAGGCTTACTGTATACAGAATCTCATCAGATCAGGTTGACTTTAATGGAAAACTTTCTAGCTTTCTCTTTTCATATGGCTCAGGTGCTGCTAATGCAGAACTTATGGAAAGCAGATAAACATCATGAAACCATCCCTGAATAGAGTATTCATCAGTTACAAAGCAGGGGTATTTTTCACACATGTCCCCAGTCTTTATAGCATTTTATTCTGTGACAACACAATCCTGAATTTATCTCTAGGGAATGTCAGTACCATATCTTTTGCATCAGTTTGTAGCTCATTGATAGTGTCCTCTCTCCTTTGCAGTGGTCGCCCTTCAGGCTCATGTCCCAGCACCTTTGTTGACATTTTTTTAAATCCATGTAGACACTTGTATTATACACGGGCTGTTACACTTTTCTTATCAGTAGAATCCGCAGTCTTTTAATGGTATTTCTTTAAAAGAAATCTTGTTAAATAGAATTATAGACCTTTCTAAATAGACATTTTTATCTCTTACATGTACTGTAGGGCAACAGGTGTGTTTGCTTTCCTCTCATATGCTCACATATGTTGTTCTAATATTGTAACACTATAATCAACAAATGCTTTACTTAGTTACTTCTTCAGAGCACTGAAGCACCCTTATGTTTTTCATCCATTATCGTTAAGGTTCAGTCATTTTGTGTAATGCTGTGACCTTGGACCTCTCTATTTATCATGATCGAGGACAGTAATCCTGTTTTTCTTGGCCATCTCACAGACTTCCTCTTTACGTAAGATCAGATCATTTACTAAAATGTGATGCAAGTAAGGTTAGTGAGTATTTCTGGACAAGGTTGCCTGCAGAAAGGATGGGTGCTTCGGCAGTGTCACCTTGAACTGTGCTGGCTTTGCGCCTTCAGCCTTCACTTGTCCACAGATTAAGCTGACACTAGGGATGTGCTGTAAATGGGACGCAACGTGCCATTTAACCATGAACAGGCTCATATCTTTAAAGGTTATAGTTGCACAGTTCACTTGCCATTGGATGTCGCATTAAAGCACCAACATCTCTTACCAAAAGAATGGGGGATGGGAAAATGAAAAAACTCACCAAAACTGACTTTGTAAGTCTTTTCACAGTCTTTCCAACAATCAGCACTGCAGGTGTAGTCAAAAACGTGGCTAGACGCCACTAAATCTGACACACTGGACGACGGAGATGAGAAAAATGTTTGTCACTCTACTCAGCGGCACATGGAGCAGGCCGACTGTGTAAACAAACCAGAAAGAGCTGCAATAGCAACGCAGGGGGGAGGGAGTGTGACGTCATTTATATCTTTACATAGCAACCTTTAAATCAAGATTTTACGTGTAGTTCTCCCTGTTAACAAATTGGAATAAAGGCTGTCATGTCCGACTGTCCTGGCTAGCTGTGCAGTGTGTGTGTTCAAATTGTATCCGTTTAGTCCAGGTTAAGTCCAGTCAAACCATCCGGCTTGATTGACCGTAAACATGTCTGTCATAGCTCATTCAGATGTGTGGCCACCTTGTTGTGTAATTTGGTTACATGATTACACCAGGGCCCTGTTACTCTAATGTTTTTGGGACCACACCGTCAGTAAGGCGCAATTTACACTTTTACATTTATAGTCAAATCAAGGGTTGCGTGTCCTGCTCAGTACCGCTTCATTAGTACTGTATACATGGTCATTGTGGTCATTTTATGCTCCAGTGCTTGAGTATAACTAGAATAACTCTAAGGCTGGGTAGAACTGACCATGGAGCAAGCATACACACCATTATTTGGCTGAAACGGCTGCCAAATGCCTCCGTGCTGCTTTTCTTCTGGAGGTTTGACATGGTCTTTCTGGGGACATGTATCACTTCCATTGATGTTTCACCTCATTTCTGTTCATAAAGTTGTTCCTACAATATAAGTTCATTGTAAGAGACTCTGACACTAGTCTAATCGTGAAACACCCTAACAAAAAAATACAATGACAACAGAAGGGATGCAGGCTATTAGTCATGCAGATGAACCGGTTTGTCTACTGTGTGTTCTGACCGCTTTGTATCAGAACCAGCATGAACTGTTTCATCAGTTGAGCTACAGGTAGCTCTCTGTTGCGATCAGACCACACGGGCCAAGCCTTCACTCCCCACCTGCACCATGACGCCTGTCTCCTAGTTCACCGCTTTTCCTTCCTTTGGACCCCCTTTTGAAAGGTATCTGACCACTGCAGACGGAAACACCCCACAAGAGCCTGCAGGTTTGGAGGGATGCTGACCCAGTCGTCATTTTTCCTGCTTCGAACTCATCAGCTTGAAGACAAAATGTTTCACCTTCGCTGCCTGATATGTTCCACCCATGACAGGTGCCATGGATAACCAGATTTAACAGTGTTATTCACTCCACCAGTCAGTGCTCATAATATTATGGCTGATGTATGTAGATTTTGACATTTTCCAACTCTTGTGGTAGTACCAAAACAGTCACTCTGCTACAACCCTACAAGCCTTGTACTGAACACAGGGACACTAAGATAAATTAGCTTAAAGCATAACATCTACTTTACAGACTTTTGTCCTACAAACAAAAGCACATATAATCAGAACAATTTAAAAGATATTATAATCATGACATCACAATAAGCTGTTTCTGCACATAGGTGCTTTAAAAGCACAGTGGAAGGAAGTTATTGTCTTTTAGCTTCAGTTAATGTGGTGTGGCAGGGTTTCAGTCAAATCCTTCAGACGTGTGTAGACATGGTTTATATTAATGTGCGATACTGAGCTATAGAGAGATACAGAGCTCTGGAGCTGCAGAGGTGTGCTGGCCTCCGATCAGGAGGAGAAGGGTCAAATTAATCAAATCAGGCCACGACCATGTTCTCTGGAAATGTAAACAGAGTTATTGTCCAGCTGAAAACCAAATACACGCCTCATACTGAGAGATTACTCTGGTAGCTACCTGCAAGCACAAGTGTGTTTTTGATATGATGGGTGGGGTTAGCTTGTCACCCCAGTTCACCTTTGAGTTGATGAATTTATATAATCACCCCCGAGTTCAAGCTGTGTCATCAAAAATAAAAAATAGTAAAAGATTTTTGCAGGAAAAGAAAAGAGACACATTTAGCAACACTAGTAGAATAGTAGATCATGACAAACGTACACTTTTCCTTTCTTGAATAATAGCATCCACAGTCAGGCCTGTGAGTGGCCGTCATCCTTTCCCTCTGCCTGCTGTCTCTCTCTTTCAGTTATCCACAATCTAATCCTTGTATGTGGGTCAGGAGAGAGAATTCTGAATCTAGGCTACAGATATCTGAGTCATTAGTTTACTCATTTTCTCCAAACTGGGCATTGCAATAAGTGGTTCTAGAGTAATTCCTGGGTAAAGTTACTAACTATTACTGTTCGCGGACTAATATCCCTTTTGGAAGAAATATCATGTCAGTGTTGTTATGCTATCAGTGTCAGAAATTAGGTATGACATTTTAAAATTCTTGGACTCTCAATCTGAAACTGTATTTTCAATGTCACTACTGTAATATCTGTAATCATCTCTGCGGTTTTTGTAAATACTGGTCCTTGTCTTGTTCTTTGATCTGTCCCACCCCGGGCATTCCTCCAGTTTCCTTTGCCAGCTGATAACATGGTAGGTTATCATTGCAGTTAATGACAATACAAAGTCTGAGGCCGGTAAGAGGCTTATGGGGCTGTTGCTTTACAAAATCAGGTTTTGTCAGAAACCGGAGCAGTAGCTCTTGGCAGGTACAACTGCTGCTGTTTGTAGTGCAGAGATCATATAGAGAGATGACAGATTAGCAAGTATCATAATATGCACAGACAGCAGTGTCTACTCACAGTTTGTTCCTTTAGTTGGAAATCGAGATTATGTTTTACAGTACAAACATGACTTTGCAGTGGGCAAACTGTAAATGCATGATAGACGACTCAGCCAAATACATGCACACACAAATTCAGGAACAAGCCATTAAAAATGTTGTAGTAGCTGCACTCTGTGTTTTTACTGATGATCACGTTAGGTGGACCTACTAAAGGTGGACAGAATACCCGCATGGTAAAATGCATAGCAGTTCAATGGCATTTCATAACTAACTTCCTCTGTGCCCCCGCGGGAGAGTTGTGGATTCAAATGTATGCAAATGTATTTTCAGGACAGAGCTTGTACTGTTATTTTATAAATTTTTTGTATTTTGTGTTTTTATCCACCACATATCATTATACAACACGAGTGTATAATGAAACAAAGGTTCCATTCATACTACAAAAAAGGCAATTAAATGTTTAGAATAATAACATATGAAATTAAATAATACATACAATAATACAACATATACAATTATTTATATACATATATGCATACATGTACACACCCAAATAATTCTGCAGCGCATCTTTTGAATTTGCATCTGGGAGATTGTAATCAGCAGTAATATGATAGTGATGATAAATGATAGTGATGATAAATACATGAATCAACAGTGACATTTTAAACTGAATCTTAATTAAGAGTTGGCATGCTTTGTAGAAATGTAGTAATTTAGCTCCAAATCGTACATTTTCCATGCACTGTGCTGACAATACATAATGAAGAAATGAAGTGTCTCGTTCTTCCTCCAAATGTTTTATCATTTTATTAGTGTTGCCAGTTTGAATGGCATTTGTGTTGAAGCACAGGCAGCATTAGAGCAAATACCATTAATGAATAATGTATGACATGTATCCTCATGGTTCAGACTTTCATAGACCGTGTGATCCTGCTGGAAGACTGTAGGATTAAGTAGGTGGACCTTTTAATCTTACGTTATTTAACCAAAGGTCACAAATTAAAATACTCAAATGTGTAAAAGTTATTTCTAATGAAGGGAAGTGTGAAAAGAAACCCAATTAGGTTGTAATTTACGGGAACTGTACCTACAGCACAACACATGCTAAGATTGTGGTTTTGTTTAGTCTTTGTTGTGGCATTTCATTTTGACTGATGATACGGTGCTATTTCTGTGTAGTGTGTCTGCATATTGGCCTGCACTGCAGTTGCTGTATGTTAAATATGGGTACAGTATGTGGCTGCCCTCATATTGATGGGCTAGTCTTTGTTGAGGTTACATATAGCTTGATGAAGAAGCATTTAGAGTCATATGTGAATGTGTGTTCAGTTAATACAGTTAATAATTACAATTTGTCTGGTTGCTGCAGTTTAGTGCATGTGCTTTATTTTTAATAAAAACTCATTATAAAAGTAAGTAAAATACAGTTGGAAGGTAAGCTATCCTGCAACAATCTGTTATGGTGATGCAGAAGAATGATTTATTATTTCCTGATTACCATAGGAAGCATGAGTTAATCATCAACCTCATATCATTGAGGTTTGGTTCAGAATTTCTTTTTCCTTGCTTCCTTCTTCTCTTTAATCTTTTGATTCTGTTCCAAGAGCTGATAATGTGATATCTACTGTTAATATGCAATGCCTTTTGCTCCAATGGCACCTGTTTCTGGGTTGAAAACGGGTAAGGCTTGCTTAAACAATGAGATCTTCTTTGTGAATACAATGTGAGAGATGATGTTACAGTAACTGTTACCACTGAGTGGTATGGTTATGGCTACACACTGACTAAAAGGCACAGTTCTTCCACAACCAAAATACATATTTTTCCTGTTTTGGTGTGAGTTTTCAGTTTTGGAGATATCAGTCATAGAGATGTTTGCCTTCTCTCCAATATAATGTACCCAGATGGCACTCGGCTTGTGGTGCTCAAAGCGCCAAAAAAATAACTTTGAAAACCCAACAACAAAGTCTCTTCAGAAATCATGACCCGCTTACTCAAGATAATCCACAGACCTTGTTGAGAGCACTTACAGCACTTAAACTATTTTCTAGATTTACATCTACAGTAATGGATAGATATGAGAGAGGACTGTCATCTAACGCTTGGCAAGAAAGAAAATAAACGTATTTCCCAAAATGTCAAACTATTGAATTAAGACACTTTCACTTCGGTTTTCTCCCATGTTTTATATGTCTCTCATTCCATGAAGGATTTATAGTAAAATTTTATTGGAATTACAGTTAATTAGGAATGTTATGTTGTCATCCTTTAATGGTTGCAATTATCTGGGGGCTGATCAACAGCTGAGCTTCCTTGCATGTTCATAAGAATTAATGGCAAGAGAATATAAGAAGTATGTAAGAATGTGACAAAAGCATTGATGAATTGGTCAAAGTGGTCAGTTATCCTGGAGAGAGATAGTTGATTGAGTCTCATTCCCAGGTCACCTTGGACACTTTGGGTAAATAGGAATCAAACAAAGTGTCTCAGAGCGAGCCACACAACACAACAGGTGCTGTTTGTACTCCCAGATCGTTGCTTTGGGTTGCCAGTTTGCCAAGCTGGAACTGAGAATCAACAATGAACAACTTTTCTCCAGAATGACTGAGCCCACATTTAATGTCAGTCTTAGCTGTAGACAGTGACTAACTCCTCTCTGTCTCTGTTTTTTTTTTTAAATCTAGCTGGTGGTGATGTCCAGATCTTAGACAAAGACTAACTCTCCCTCCCATCATGGACTCCAAGAAGCCGGGCATGCTGCGGCATCTCCGCCAGAAGATGCTGCCACATCTTCGGCGAGGCAAGACGAGCCCAAGCAAGTCGGTCATCCAGCTCGAACACGCCATGGACCACCGGATGAGCTCCTCCGTTCCCGACATGAGGGACATGAGGCAGGAGTACGCTCACGTCTCCTCCAACACGCAGCTGCAGCAGTACAATTCCCCCAGCTACAGCAACCCCTCCTCACCACTTGTCAAGCCTGCTCGAGGCCCAGGAGGAGGTGGGAGTGGCCTGAAGACAGGAGTACCCGGTGGAGGAGCTGGGAGGAGTGAACACAGACTAAGTGTGCCTACAGACTGCACAGACTGGGCTTCTTCTCAGGAGTCTTTCAACAGTCTCTGTGAGGAGGAGAAGAGTTCCCTAGAGACAAACTACAGACCTGCCAGGGGAATGGAGCCTGAGGAGCTGGCCCTACCGGAGATGATGACAGTCTACAGTCCAGACACTCCATCCATGGAGGCTTTCCAGGACAGCTCACAGGTACAGACACTGCGTTTGAAATGTTGAATCAGTGTCTGAAAGAACGGGTCATTCCTCCAAACATAAGCAAAGGGTCTTTATATAAAGGTTGTAGACCTAAACATTTTAATAGATTTTTATTTCCATTTCCATATCTCTTACGCTGGATTAATGTTTCTATATCAATACATTTTGTAGAATAATTAACGGTGAGCATGACCGTAGAATAAGATTGTATAGTATAGTATAGTATTTTGTTTCCTGGTAGCACACAGGTAAAGAGATCATGTACTTCTAATGAACGGGTTGGTTTATTGTACACTGGTGGAAGTGAGGTTTCAGGTATATTTGCACAGGACCTTTTAAAGTTTACCTTGGAGGAGCTGGGCGAAGATGAAATTAGAGCTCATTCCAAAATCAATAGTCTACAGCAGCAAACTCTGGCTGTGTGTGTTTGTATACTCCCAAAGCATGACATTTAATGGCAGGTCTTTACAACAACATATCACGTTACAAGGATGTTGATTTGAGCACGGGTGCTAGATAACTGATCTTATATGGTATGAGGTAGGAATCAATAGTATTAAGAGTTGGTGTTTTGTTGTGACACATGTTAATATTTATACATATTTTGGGATTTGATGCCCAACATTCCACACATTCTGATGTTTATTTCTGTAATGGCCAACTTTAAAATCTAAAGAGATCTGACTTAGTTCAGTAGGCTCAGAAAAATGTTTAGAATTTTGAAATCAATCTTTCTCTTTAATTTAAGTTATTTGAGATCCAGTTGCTTGGTCTAACACATTTTAAAAACAACACATTCTTAGACAAATTTTTAGGTCTACAAAAAAATCTAACAAAATATATATGAAATAGAAAGTGTGTGTGTGTGTGTGTGTGTGTGTGTGTGTGTGTGCGCCTCTCTGA